GTGTGTGTGTGTGTGTGCACAAGTGTCACCATGGTGCAACATTCAACAGCCAAATAGTAGATGTCTTTCTTTGGACTCAAGAAAGACAATAACTGGAGGAGGAGAGAACTTCCCAAAGTATTTTTTGCTTATTTGCCATAAAAATTAGAGAATTAAAATGCACTGAATATCTGGAAATAACAACAGAACATATAGAAAATACAATTCTCCATATTGCTGACTGTTTACTGTGAACAGCTACATAATTTCTGACTGACATCTGCCAGTTTTGTGTGTAACAGATTTACAGAGAGTAGCAAGGTGCTGTACCTCAGAGACTGCCTACTTCAAGGGACATTCCACCAATTTTACACATCAAGATCAATTGACTTGCCATGGAGAACAATACTTAGCTTGTGGAAACAGAGGTAAGCTTCAAGTAATTCAATTATCCACAGATATGTCATAGTGATGTCATGAGGGATATTTAAGACTGGATATTACAACCGAATTATTTCACAGAGTTACAAACCGGGTAACTTTTAAAGACATGAGTGTTTAGGGGCAGGCAACTATTAAAAAGACAAATTGAAGTTTCATTATGGGAAATATGGGAAATATGGGATCCAGTGTTTAGGGAATGAAAAGGATATCCCAACATCTGCTGCTACCATTCGTTTTTTTAAGTCCCTTGAGTGCAAGACAAAATCTAACCAGTAAACATGAAATTACTCACTTTAAAGTGAGAAACATTTAAAGGATAATATAACATTTTTTTCTACTTACAAAGGAAAAGATAATTTGATAAGCAATAAAACACCATCTTTCTCAGGTTAGTACACTTGCTTGGTCTGGTATGACTGGTGGTTGGGGGCTAATGTTAGCTATAGATATTGCTGTGTAACTGACATTTCTGGGTGAAATGTCTGACTTTATGACTTTTTTCTACCTGTACTTCTGTTATATTAGGCTTTAGAATTAAAATTATCCTGGTGACAATTTAGCAAACGTTACATAGGTTTTAAAATTGCTTCAGAAAATGTGAATATGACTGACACCGATGGTCAAATTCATAAATGTCTACTCATCTGTGATGTTTTCTACAGGACGTGTAATCTGCCGGTACATGTCTTATTAGTGTCCTGTTGAACCACTGGAGGGCGACAGACACACTGCACTGTCAACAATCAGCTGCAGTCAACTGAACAAGTGCAGCATTTCTAAAAGTCCACTCTTTATGTTTAAACATAAAGAAAACAGCAACTTTATTATTCGTCTCTCATCTGTCCATCTAGTTTTGACTTTGCTCGTCCAGTCAGCGCATACATGATGCAGGCCCACGATACTGCCCTGCCTCAGACAGACAGTCAAGAGAAAAAAGGGTTTAAAGTTTTCAGGCTGACTGGTAAACTGTGTAACAGATGGAGAGGATATAATGCCCTGGGTTTAGTCTGATTACTTTACAACAACAAGTCAGTGACATTTAAATACTGTCAAAAGCAGAAAGGGCAGTCACTGCTGTTTTAGGCTATTTTAAGGCTAGCTACCTTTCCCTGGTCTAGTTAAATTGTTTTATTCTCCATGACTTTATTGAGCTGCACCTATTTTATGTAGGATAACAAAACTATCAAGGTATTCATCAAAAGTGATATATATTGAATATAGGAAACAGTGTTATATGTGCTATATCTCACTAGCTAGTTTGAACTGGATTTGGCTGTCTTCTGTTTGGTTTGGTTTTAATAGCCCATGTCCTCGTTGAAATTGTACATTTCTATGGCATAAAACAATGTTTTATATGTTATAAAAAATGCCAACAAGACGTCAGATCTGCTGTTGACTTTTCTGACTTTACTGCAGTTTGACTTTGTGGAGCAAAATAGCTCAATGTGTATTATGCAACCACAGTTCACAGTCTCTTTCCATGCAACCACATGGGACTGTAATCCACTTGAAACCAGCATGAGGGACGTCTGATCCTCCACACAGTCACAGCACAGTCCCACACACAGATTTCATCTCATTTTAGGGATGACTTAATCAAGTGGATTATACAGAATGTCACACAATAAAATACTGCAAGATCTGCCCCAAAAAATATTACATAATATCTAGAAATATTATATTGTCACATCCATAACATCACAACACTGACTACTACTACCTTTACTGAATTACAGGTACTAACACCACAGTGTGGAAATACTTTATAAGTAAATGTCCTGCATTCAAAATGTACAATAGGACTATTATGAAAACATATTTAAAGTACAAAAAGTAAAATGTATACTCATTATACAGAATGGCCAATTCCATCACTTCAATGTTGGTAAAGGTAGAGCTTTATACACTGCTGAGTAGCACCTGATGATCAATAAGGTTTATCTTTATCTATAATAATGCATCATCATTTATTTATTGATCATATTTTAATGGTCTTAATCTGTGAACATTGTTAAACATAGGCAGTGGGGTAAAAAGAACAATCCCTCTGAGGTGCAGTGGAGCAGGAGTATGAAGTAGAAAACAAAAGTTCCTCAGTAGGTGAGTGAAGCCTCGCAGTGCTCCGCCCGTCCCTCCTGTAGGGGAGGGGAGGGGAGGGGAGGGGGCGCTAGTGAGCTAATCTGTGCTGAAAGGGGGATGTCCTCTTTGCAATCAGCAGTCGCCAGCTGCAGCTGAGGGCTCTTCATCTTTAACCTGCTGCAGACACCCGGAGAGACACACGCACCCGTTCACCTGCTGATAACCGAGCGAAGATGTTCTGCAGACGGGCATGGCAGAGGGTCGGGCCGCTGGCACGGTGGGCTTTCAAGCCGACATCCAGAAACGGTCAGTCCGTCACTCAGTTCACTTAATGACTTTTTTAATGTTTCTACACGGTGTGCTGTCATATTAACTGGAGTCATTAAAGTGGAGCAAAGCGGCCTCGTCCGTTAATCAGCACGTCTTCATCAGCAAACTAATGGACACATTTAAAACATGTTAAAGTATAATCCAACAAAGAGACATTGGTGGGTTTTCCATTGTGCGGTCGTTCAGTCAGAGGGAGGTGTGTCCTGCTTTGGGAACACGCAGTTCTTGCACATAGATTATGAAAGAGCGCATCACACACGACTAAAACTCTGATTTGAGCTTTTATAAGCGAGTTTCATCAAGTGCAATTGATGTTTTTGTGCAGATATTAAAGCCTTTAAGCGTGTAGTCCGGTTTTCGGGAATAAATAACGATTCTTCCTAATGGTGACACGTTGTCCCAGGACTTCTTTTTGTGAGTTGGACCCCATGGAGATCAGAACAAAAGTTTCAGCCCTCTTCAGTATGAGAATCATATTGAAAAATCTACTTAAACAATGTATGAAATGTACAAGCAATAGCTCTCTACACCCTTTACACTTGAATCATTATTAAACATTAATTTGCTGATGCATTTGTATTTTAAACCTCACGTTGGAGGGTTGCATGTGAGCTGAAGGGGATTTGAGACTTGATCACTTGTATTTTTAGGACGTTTTCTCTTTTCACGCGTCCTTGCACAGATCATCCTTTACTTTGGGATCCGAGCATGTGGAATTCAGCCTGAGGGCAGACTGCTGCTTTAATTTCCTGTTTAAAAAAAACAACAAAACAAAAGAAACCCTCACTGAGGGTGCAGATGAAATAAATTCTATCTGCCAGACCAAAACTGCATGTGTAACAGCATACCAGTACTGTCCTGGTTGTCCTGGTTGTCCTGCAGGTCTGCTGGTCTCCTCCCCCATTCTGTCTCAGTGAGCATGTGCAGTTGACAGACAGTAGCAGGGGAGTACACAACATACTGGCTACACACATGTGCCACTGCTACCACAGCAGCCATCTTGTGTGCTGTTGGCTGACATGCGTGTCCATTTTTACAGGCTTGAACCCTCAGTGCAGGGATTAACTGATTACTTGTATAAATAACCTGTACTTGGCCTTGTCCCTGCATAGTGCTGCTGTGTCATGGGTATTACAGGCGGGAGGACTTACTGTTACGTTGGCTCAGCATCCACAACAGGATAACATACAGCTCTTGTTTTGGTTTCGTACATAGTTGTATTAATGTATCCCTGGTCATTTTGTGGTAATCCATTTAAATATGTATCTTGAGCCACGTAGCTTAGCTTAGCATAAATGTGGGGTAAACTGCCCAGAGGGTCACAAAATGTGCACATGAGAGTGCACTAAAATGTCGGTACAAAAATGAAGTGTAGAAACGACAGTGGCTAGTTTCCCATTGTTTCGATTCTTTATGTGAAGTTCATCTAAGCAGCTACGTATTTCACAGACACAAAAGAGCAAAATCAAAAGTCTCTGCAAGAAAACAAAATGTATTTTCCAAAATGTCAAACTATTCCATAAATACTAAACTCCTTACATTTTGTCACATTGTTTTCACAGCGCCATTTGAATTTTTATTATAATAGATGGATTATGGGGCGTCGCGGTAGCTCACCTTGTAGAGCTGGTGACCCATGTACCATGACTGACACGGCCATGGGTAAAATCTGACCTGTGGCCCTTTCATCCAGTCTCTCTACCCACTTTCCTGTCTAACTTGAGCTTTTCTTACAGTTGAAGAAAAGACTACATGGGGAGTAGGGATGTAACTCTTCTGAACTGGAGAGGATAAATATTTAGGATTGGTTCTACACCATTACTTGAATTTTTATTTTTATTTTTTTTAATAAGATAAAAAAAAAAACATTCAAGCTGACAGCTTCAGGTTTGAGTGATCAGCTGTTTTCAGTCAGTGATTGATGAAGCGGATTCCAATGTTCTGTAAATGGGTGACCGGTTAAACAACGACTGTCATTCATGTCTCCATATATAGATGCAGGTTGTCAGTGTAAAAGTCACAGATTGAGAACACACATGGAACATGGGGAGGACAAAAAGGGGCGGGGTGTGCTGTACATTGTGTTCTTTACTGCTTCAGAGGGCATATGCAGCTTGCTGAGTAAACTACGTGCATTGTGTGCGTGCGTGCGTGCGTGCGTGCGTGCGTGTGTGTGTATCATGCTAAAGATATCGTATGTACTTTGACTGTGTGCATGCACACACGTTTTGGTGTGTGTGTGAGGTCTAGGTAGGAAGAGATTAGGCTAAGGCAGTGTTTGGGATGCAGGGTGGTTTTATTTATGGCCTCCTCTGTATGCACCACTGGCAATCCTTTAAACACCAGCAAATCTTTTCACATGGCGTACAGGCTGCATCCGGCCACCCTTACCTCTCCACCACAACAACAATATCTTGTTAAGAAGCTTTTGACAGATCCTCAATTTAGTCCCGATATGTGTTGAGGGACTTGTTCATATGAATTCAAGCCCACCAGATCATTTTAAAAGCTGTTTGTTTTTTGATGCAAATCTGAGATCATCGAGCAGGAAGTGTTCGAGTGTTTGTATGCTTGGGATTTAATTAAGGCACTATTCTTTGTTTAGCTTGGCTGCTGCTAAATCTTTCCATCTCCTCAGCTACAAATGACCAGGGCTGTATATGTAACTGGATTAAGGGATGAAGACATCTTGACGCTATCAGAATGCACTGCTCTTTGTGCCAAGTTGTACTTCTGATGGGACCATTTCCTCAAAACACCCACAAATTATCAAAATGTGTCATACTTTATAAATGATTATTATTGATGTTTATTTTAGATTTCATGACACCAAAAAGCAAATGCCTGTCCTGTGTTCAGTCAGTTCAGTGGTTGAATGAAGGCACCAATAACTATCCATCCCAGTCCAAAATTACAATCCATTCTAATTATATAAATGTCAGTAAATGTTGGCTGGAGGTCAGCCTATAATCACATTTCCAAAGCAACCCTGTAACTCTGCCCTCCTGTCTCTCTCAGCAGCTCCAGTGCGACACATGGCCTTCGGGGTTCCTGGTGGCTCCTCCAACATGGCATACTTTGTTCTGTGCGGTGGAGGCCTCACTGCTGCCGTCGTCTATGTGAGTATCCGTGTGTGATTTCTCCATTCCAGCTTTACCTTCTGTTCTGTAGTCGATGGCTTGTGTGTCTGCATTGTAGACCTTTTGTCTATCTGCTGTGTGTAAGTTCAATTTATTCCACATAGTAAAGGACATCAAAAGTCAGAAGTCCGGGACTGTGGGTAATAAAGTAAAATTATTTAAGTCAAAGTATTTTCCATTAATTTATGAATGTATTTTTATACACCATATTAATACAAATTAGTTTTTAACAAATTGTCAGCTGTGGACAGGATGGAAAATGGCTTCCTATATTGTGAGGAAAAAGGGTGAATTTAAAAATGGATTTATTTGTTGACAGGTTTGTATGGAAAACTTCCTGAAAGTTAAAAACCATCAGGAAGCAAACTCCTGTACACCGTCTTTACTTCCATTTAACTTGATTGCTGCAGCTCTTAGATCACAGTGCATTTATCGGTCAGGATGAAGCCTTCTTTCCTGGTGAAGAAGAAATAGTTGTTTGAGTTCATAAAGCTGGACCGTGTGCAGCAGACATCACCACAGCTCAGACACGGGAAGGGACATACTGTAGAAGGGTCTTTGTGCTTTCTACACGCTGCTATTGTCTGGGCAGAGTTGTTTCTGTTTACTGTCAGGCTCTTGACAAAGCAAAGTGTGTGTCAGTTATGTTGGTTCATGTTCATGACAAAATGTCAGTGTAAGGTGGCATTTTGTAACACTTACTGTTTTATACTGTTATCATTTGACATGTGCTGGAATGTAATAAGTACATATCTGCCCTATTTCTCTCAGGCCTACAAGACGGTCAATGGTGATAGTGAGCGCTATGAGGACAGACTCGCCAGCATGGGCTCCACAGCAAAGGGTCAGTATGAGCTTTCAGTAAAATAAACCACAATTTTTTTTTTTTTTTTTGGTATATTTACGAAAGATTCTATCAATTTTGTTGTTGACATGATACGAATTACATATACAAGGGTTGCTAGTGGTTCTGTGAGGCTGTGGCACAGAACAATATCAAGATGCACTCCATAAATTGTCTGGATACAAGCCTGTATCCAGTTTGTTTTAGTTCTGTTTTTAAACAAAGCTAGCTCACTTAAAAAAATAATAAACCACCTTACACACCAATACACAAGACTATTTAAGGCTTTTGTTGAAGCGTTTCATTAAAGATTGATCACAAGATCACTTTTTGCCACTTCACTCAATCTTCTCTTCTTAATATTTCTGAATCTACCAACCTCAAAGGTCAGATAGCCAGGTTTTAATTGGGCAACTATCTTTCTTCTAGATAAGTTGAATGTGTGACATTGATTTAGGGCCTTAATTTGCTCAGTGTATATAAGTACTGATGAACTGAATAAAAAATGGTTCTGAGAACTGAATAAAAAATGGTTCTGAGAACAGAAAGGAGAGGATCTTGCTGTATTTCTGAACTGGTTCTGGCTCCACCCCCCCCAAACCTCAAACATGGTAGAATGATCACTCTCAATAGCTTTAACTTGCCTGTCTGTTTTGATTTTCTGTCTGCAAATTATTTGTCTATTCAGCCAGTTTGAGCCCGGGGAGATCGTGGCACTGTGCCCAGAGCAGCTAACTAGTCTGTAATGGGGACGAGCAGCGGCTGCCACTGGTTCAGTGTACATTCAGCCTGCAAGTGTTGTTTTTAGTCACAAATGCATTATGAAGCTGTGCTCCCTGCAGTGTTGGCCGTTGTTTTGCTTTGGCTTTAAACTTGCCAGTGATCCCATTATGTAATCACGCAAACATTTCCAGGAAAACAAAGTCACAGAAACATCTTGATGCACACGGTGATGGTGATTAAAGTGATTGTGATCAAGGATCATATTGTCCTGACACATTAATCTGAGGACACATCACTGTGTACTCACTCACTCATTGCCGTGCAAGTTTAGGGTTCTTTAGCAGCACAGTCAGGTGGGTCGTTTGTTTGACGTGATAACTAAACTCCATCTCCACATAGGGATAAAGAGAACCTGTTAACATAATGACCTAAATGGATATTAAGCTACTGCGTTGTAATGATGGAATTAAAAGTTGAAGCACACTGTTGGACACAGGACTGCAGGGGTAAACGGCCTGTGGTCCGAACCACAGTGTTTTTCATGTTAACCGTGTCATAGTAATCCATCCAATAGTTGTTGAGATATTAAAGTGTCGGACCAATTGACTGACATCGTCATTTCCAGAGCCATGTTGGCATCATTGCAGTAATGCAGTCATGATTTAGTCTTTTATTCGCATTCAAAGTGATACTGGTTACATCAGTTCCTGCACTTCTATCAGCATTTTAAAAACCATATTTGCCTACTTGATTTTGTAAGTGTATATTCAGTAATGGCACATTTAAAGTAAGATAATCTGTGAAGCTGCACTTTAGCTCAGCTTTTAGCTTGGATTTTGTGCTTGAGCCATACCAAAAAAAAAAAACTGCTTTAGCTCCGAAGTGCTTATTTGTCATTATTAACCCACAGTCATACCACCTATGTACTGAATTATTGCAATTGTCTCATCAGTACCCCTTTTAACTACTGAATTCTATTTTCCACTCCTGTTTCTTTAGTATCGAACTCGTTAAGAATCTGTGTTTGAATCTCATGTAGTCATTGAGACCGAAAAGTTTCGGTGCGGTCAGCAGGTATGTTTGTCACAAGGATGACATGTTGGGATTAAGGATTATCTTTCACCCTACTCATTATGCTGCTTTACCTTTTAGACCTTTAAGACGTCAACTCTTAACCTTTAGCCCTACATTTGTGTCAACCCATAAGTGGCCATAATTTTAGTTTTTGGCACTTTTTTCTTTGGATGATTATTTATTATACATTATATTAAATATTTACCCTTAAAACTGATAACTGTAGCTGTGACCGCACTGATCCTCAGCGATTATTCAAATGTCTAAAACCAAAATAGGCCTAGAAGTCTAAGGTACATTGCACTAGCTGTTTCTTCAGATTTGTGTTGGTTTGTTTTTTCCTGATACACATAACTATGGAGAGAAACAAGTCAAGAAAGGTTGCTGTCAATAATTCTTGTTCCCAACCTCTTAATCTGCAGCACCAGAAGCAGCGGTACCGGAACCAGCGGTACCGGAACCGGCAGCACCAGAAGCGGCAGCACCGGAAGTGGAAGCTCTCACAGCTGAAGCAGAAGCGCCAGAAGCAGCAGCTCCCGCAGCTGAACTCGCCCCAGTGGAGGAGGCAGCACCGGCAATGGAGGTCGTTGCCGAGTCTGCCCCTGCAGAACCAGTAGCGGAGACCGCTGCCGAACCTGTCGTCGAGGCCGCCTCTGAAGAAGCCGCCGCTGTCGCCTCAGAGGTTGTCGTTGCCGAGGCTGCAGCTGAGCCAGCAGTCGCAGAAGAAGCTGAGCCAGCAGTCGCAGAAGAAGCTGCTCCACCTGCAGCGGTTGAGGCGGTTCCAGAAGCTGTGGAAGTCGCTGTGGAAGTCGCTGCCACAGAGGAGACGCCAGCAGAGGCCCCTGTAGCAGAGAGTGCTGGTACGGCAGCAGTAGATGAAGTCCTTCCTGAGGCAGAGACTGGCTCTGCAGCCCCTGAGGCTGAGGCTGCCCCTGAGGCTGAGGTGGCTGCATAAAGCTGTGATGCCTCATAGTTTGCCCAGAAAGGAGGGCTGGGAATTAATTGTGCTGTGTCCCACCTCTCTGGGCCTAGGAAAAAAGGACTCATGAACCCCTGTTTTAATAAAGGGAGCGGGGAACAGCATTTAGGTTTCACTTCTGGTTGGTTAATGAATACCAGTTAGGGGTTCATCAGTCCAGTTTTCAGGTGCCTTCCTTTCCTTAGCTCACCTCACCCCAACCTTCAGACCCAAACCAGAACATTTGGCATTAGGCTGTCTGTTTAGATTCAGTTCAGAAAATTCAGTTTCTTTAGGAATTCTTGTAGCCAGAGCAAATCCAAATGATGGTTTGGCTGCTGTACAGTTAATAGAGGAGTGTTAAACTAGGTGATACAAGTCATGGAGCAGAGTTTGGGACTAATGTTTTCTGTAAAATGTTTAAAAAGTGCCCTTATAGCAGGACAGCCCTGCATTTTCTCCCTTAGGTAAAAATATCAGCATGGTGAATGAATACAGCCCATTTGATTGTGGAAGTTGTTCAGTCTTGTCTCTTTCAATGTCATTGGCACTTGGTCTTCCTCTGCTCAGCAAACGCTTACTTCCAGCTATTGCCATGAATCTTATTTTAGGATTATTAGCAAACAGTAGAAAGATGGAACATGAGGTCTGTGTGCTTCGTTAGTTTTAACGAAGCCACGTTTAATAATGTGAAGTGTGACCAAAAACCAGTTAGCTCCTCTTTTCCTGGCTGCAGGAGTTTTTGTGATTGTAACGTCCTTTTTGCGCATCTCCTCTCAGAGCGAGACAAAGTTGAAATTGCGCTTCTCTTCTTTCTTCTTTTCTACTCATAACAACCCATATTCTTTTTTTTCTTTTCTTGCACATTCAGTTTTATTTTCATTATTACAACCTCTCTACTTACATCTACAGCAGCCTGCGCCCACTCCAGCCATGTACAAGACTTTGTAGTGTTAAACTCACTTCTGCTCTGTCTTTACATTTTAAATGTGACAATTCATTCACCTCTGTCTCTGAGAAGTTGTCATTATGATTAATACAGTTAAGTGTTCAAAGAATAAAACCTCACTGGATCGATTATAAAGATGACGTTTTGCTTTTTTTTTTTTAAAGTACTGTATATAAGATTAAAACTTTTATATTTTTTCCAGTGTTTGCATTTATCAAATTCTGCAGGTTATAGAATAACTGTTTCAGAGTAGGTTGTCTAATCTGTCCGGGCCGTGAGTTTATTCAGCGACTCTTAGCTGCTTGTTTTGAATGTAGAATGTGACACAGTAAATGTTTTTTGTAGATGTAGAAACACCCACTTCCTGTAGAAATTCTCCCTTTCCTGGAGAATCCCTGTGCCACGTTCATGCTCCTGCGCTCTCAAGATGAAGATTGAAACAACCATCTGAAGACTGTTTTTGTTCTCAATACTGCGTTCTTAAAGATACTGCTTGTTTCTCGTTATGATGACCACATTACCACTCTGGCATAAATGTGGTGAGATTTAACTGAAACATAAGCAATCATACAACATAAAAATCTACTCACCTATCCTCTTCTAGGTGTATGTAAAATACTGATCTGCATAAACCTAGTCATAATGTTGCACACCACGTAGAAGGGAACTGCAGGCAGCACTCTAAAATGCAAAAATGTATATTGGCCTTTAATTGTAACAGGTCCAGTTTGAAGCAGTCTCGCAGACTAGTTAAAACTAATCCTAGATTACAATGCTTGTTTTAGGGTGTCCTGGTGGCTCGCCAGAATGGGGTGTTTACAGGCTCATGGGTTGGCTCATGGGTTGGCTCATTGTTGGTGGCAACCCAGGGATGTTACTGTCTAACACATAAATGCCACGCAACAACATTTTTTGAAAATTGTCTTTCTAAGAATGTCCATCGAGGCTGTATCCACGTCTAAACATTACTTAAAGCTTTTGTATTAAATCTTAAAGATGTCAAACAATAGACCTTTTTCATAGTAGCCATTCAAACAAAAAATGGTAAACAGGTGTTACTAATAATACTAATTAAGGTTCTGTTCTGCCAACATGCACGATAGCAGCACCCTGACTCTGTTTGACCTGAATGGAACAGATCCTTAATCAGTATCATCACCTGTGTTTACCCTACTGTTGCATGTTTTCATGCTGCTGTGAAAAAGGCCTATTCTCTCCAACAGTGTTAAGAGGGCTCACCACATATTCTACTATACTCTACCCACAGTAGGAAGTTTTTCAAGAGCCATGTTTCACACCGTTTTCTAAAGTTACACCAGCAGAAGGAGCATGAACTGGGGCAAGTTGTCTCCTGTACAGTATTTCCTGAACCTGAGCTGACTGTAGACCTTTCCGTGATAGACACCCCCTCAAGGTAAGTTCAGTTTATACAAAACCACACAGCAAACCACTATATACTAGAATAAATCTTATATAAATCTAATAAATTTCTGAAGAGCTGCACATGCCTCGTATGTAAAGGTAAATTAGAAAATAGTTAACATGTAATCCAGGTTTTATGTGAGGGAATTCACCAGTACTGTAACACCTTTATTTTTATTATTGGTCAACTTGTCAATTATTTGTTTTGAGCAATTAATTGTGCAGTGCATGAAATGTCAAAAATGACAAGTTTTCAACAGTGTGAAGTGTTCAAACTGTCAAAAACCCAAAGATTCAACTTGATTTAAAAGAAAATCAGCAAATCCTCACATCTCAAAAGCTGGATGGAACAAGAAAATATTTGGCATTTTTGTTTGATTAACTAACTTAAACTAATTAGTCTTTCAAAGAATCAATTGACTGAAATTGTTTCAGAACTCAAATGCACAGTTATGGTTGTTGCACATGGAGCTCCTTTATACTGCTGCTGCAATGTGCAAACTTTTATCTGTAATATATTTCAAATTTCTCTAAGCCACTACTTCCTGTCCTCCTTCTGTCCTTCAGAATCTATGCCAGACCTGCTAACAGCTGTGAAGATTTTGACCGGCTCCACAGTTGAGATTGCAGCAGCCTCTGTTGGTGAGACAAGTCTGGTGGAAGCTGTCCGGAAAATAGAGGAAGATGGAAAAGGTTTGGACTCCTCACTGGAGGTGGTGGAGCCAGAAGTCCTGGAAGCAACCACAGAGGTGGTGGCTAAAGAAGTGACTGAAGAGCCGACTGTTGTAGTGAACGAGGAGGAGCTGAAGTCTGCAGAGGTTGATGCAGAAGATGCAGGAGCTCCACCTGCTGAAGAGGAGACATCTGCTCCTGTAGCAGCAACAGTGGAGGAAGGGGAGGAGGAGGAGGCAGCACTTCCTGAGGAACCTACGACTTCAGCTCCAACAGTGGAGGAGGTGGGTGAGGATGAGGCTGAAGATCAGACTGGAGCTGCTCCAGAGGAGGCCACCACCACTGCTGAAGCAACGGCTCCTGCTGAGACATCAGTGGAGGAGACAGCTGCCGAAGCTCCGGCAGAGGAGAAGGTAGAAGCTGTGGAAACAGACGGGGAAGCTGCAGCAGTTGTGGACACGATTCAGCTGGCAGCGGCCTCCTCTGGGTCAGACCTGGAGGTCCTTTCAGCTTCTGAACCAGAGTCTACAACAGAGGCTCCTGTACATGAGGCCAAGCACTGCCACTCCTGCCACTCTGCTCCATCAGCAGAGGAGGTGGTGCCACCTGTTGCTGAGGGAGCTGAGGATATAACACATGAAGCCAAGGAGGCAGTGTCATTGATGGAAGGACAAAGTAAGAATAGACAGTGTGACGTTTTTAAACACCCCATACCTGCTTTAGTATTATCTATAATGCAACATAATAGCTACACTAAATGTAAAGTTAGTAGTATTATAGTTTAGGGGAATATACCCTTCCCATAGTAAATATGAGTTAAAAAATACAGAAGACCCTCCTTTGGTCTCCCAAAAGAGGTTTGACTACACTCCTTTTAAGCAGAAGGTTACAATTCCCCTTCCCTTTTTCTGCACACCTCATCCTCCCTGGTCATTTTCATACTGTCCCTAAATATTATGTTCATTATCTGCATTCCAAATTTACCTAACCTTGTTTTGAAGATTTAAAGTTTCATCTTGTGTCCACCCGTTAAACAATACTTAAAAGTAAGCTGACTGAGGTAGGTAGGGTAGGGTGAGGAACAGTTGTTCTCAGATCTGAAAGAAAAAATAGTCTGACATCACAAATATTCGTGTGGGCACAGTAAAACTTTCAGATGCTAGATGGCAGCACAAGGAATCTTTGTCAGAGCAGACATACTGACTTGGTAAACACAGGGGCAACTAATAACAATGATTATAGTGTCAGTGTCCTAGTGTTGTGTGTGCTGTGTTACTGACGTGTCTCAATGATACACTTGAATGGAACTGAGCCATCATTAGTGTTATTAGTTCAACCTGTGCTTTTCCTGCAGTGAAAAAGGTCAATGATACGTTTTAACCTGTTTTTTGAAGCTATGATATTAATGTGATGAAACTGTAACTGAATTAATACTGGACATGGATTATATGCTTCAGTATATCAGCTAAAAAAAACCAACCTATTAATCTTTAATAAAAGCTTTAGAGCTGCTAGAGGACACACTGGTTCCATCTCTCCAGAATCAGCGTGGAGGTGGATACTGTCCTTTGTTGTCAGCAGACATTTACCTTTAATGATGAGAGCTTCAGCAAAGACCTCAATTTTTATATTAATGGACCTTTCAAATGAAAAGCTGTCAGCTCCTAAAGACTCTTAATTAGTGGTTTATGAAAGGCAGGTTCACTGAACAGACCACCTCATTAAACCTAAATTAGAAACATAAAGACTGAGCTTCCATCATAAAATGTCAAATACATGTTTTGTTACAATTTTCTGTTAACTGGAGAAGAATAGGATATGTAATTACATGTTACAAAAAAATAAAAGCACCATCAGTACACATGAGTGCATTTTCAAGGGGCTTTCTCAGTAATGGTTATTAGATTACTAGATTAAAATAAATCAAATTAATAACCACTGAGAAAACAATATAATCTCCCCTGTATTTGGCTCTGACCAGATGTATTTCTGCCTATATCCACAGAGCCAAAGATGTCTATCTGGACTGTAAAAAGCTGCTCAGTGATGTAATAGTACAGTTGAGAAGGTAAACAGTTAAAAGCAGCACAGCTAGAAACACAGCTGTCTGTGTAGAACTAGAGACAGTAGAATGGACATCTTTATTCTCCGATAGCCACAGATGGTCAGAATTGATGAGGCCAGTGTGACTTATACACACTATTAGCACACTTTTCTATTCAAATCCTGCTGCCCATGTCCATTCTACTTATTTAAACTCTAGGATCAGTATGTTGCAAAATAACATATTAATATATTCATATTATTATATTAATGTCGTGAATTTCTAGGATACAAAACCAGTGTTGTCCTTTTTTTTTGTTGCAGCCACAGAGACTATGGTGGTGGTGACAGCCCAGTCATGACATGAGAAACAGTGTGCCTTCCTCAACACTCGCTTATCTGTCAACCCAGCCAGGACGACCCATGGAAACACAAGGGCTAGCCACAGGTTTAACTAGCGACTGTGTCCTTTTTAAAATGTTATCACAGAGTTTTTAAAATGTTTCTGACCAATCTCTGTTAGCATTTGTGAAATGATTCCCATTATGTCTCTTGTCCTCTAGATGCCACTGTTGCAAAGCTTTTCATGACCAGTTCAATTGAAGTTTCTTTGAAAGTGTTGTAGTAAGCAGTGGAAATGGTTTGTTGTTACTGTAATGTTGCTTTTCATAGATATTGCCTACTTAGCCTACAAACTGTACCAAGAATTTTAAGTGGGGTGCACCTATGTTTTCTCACGCCATTTCCCACACAATTATAACAGCATGAAGACATACATTTTTTGTCACTTTTGCCATAGTACGAATGCAGATGCAAGACATGTTTAATTTATTGTTTGCTGATTTGAAAGGGAGGCATTCCTAGGAGAAAACATTACAACAATACCAGTGAAAGATATTGCACCAATGCTGATATTTCCGCTGATATCACCAGTATATCCATATTTCGGTGCACATCTATTTTCTATTTTTTAGTGTTGATTGTTGTTGTGTATGATTATATTCAACAGTAACATGCCTCCACTTCTCTAAAAGTTGTAGATGGCTGCTTTGTTTTAACATATTTATAGATTTACTGCATAAATGATCATATATTAACTATATATTATATTAATATATTTAAATAGTTAATATACCGGTTTTATATAGTTCATTTCGATGTCTGTGTTATCATGATAATGTGCTCACATAGACACTTTAAATAAAGTGATATACAAACAATTTCACCTACCTTAATTATTCTTGTGTTAACCAGTTATTAATTCACTGTCCTATAGTGGATGTCCACTTGAGGGAGACAGATGACTCTTATTTAATCATTTGTCTAAGTTTATAGATTTTTAGGAGCTTTATTAGAATAACTTGTGACCATCATGACATCATCTTTGTTTCCACCAGGCAAAGAGAAGCAAGAAAAAAGATTCCTTAATAAAACCAACACATTATGTATCCTCTGTTTACAGCGGGTGGGTCAGGAAATGTTTTTTAGTTGAAACAAATAAAAACTCTCGCTAATGAAGCAGTGAAATGGATGCTCTCGTGAGCTCGGATTGTTTATGGTACGGCGTGACGTCACGAGTGTAATTTGCCTGAACCAGCGGAGAGTGACTGACAGCACACTGTCTCCTCCCGTCTCCTCCCGTCTCTGTCCACTCACTGTCCCACATGAAACGCCAAAGGGCACCGAGCTCTTTGAACTCTTCTGTCCGGAGACCATGAACACAAACAGCTAACGTTCACGGTGGGTTAGCTAGCAGTAAGCAGCGGGACTCCTCCGCCTGTCAACAACAACAACAACAACAGCAGCAGCAGCGGTATCAGAGCCGTCCAGAGGGGAGGTTACTGTATGTGTATGTCTCTCTCTCTCT